AAAAGGCGCGGCCCAAATTCAGCAAATCAACAAAATAGAATACCCAACTTAGCCGATCAGCACTACTGCACTACCCACTGCAGCGGCGCTCAATTGAAGACAGATTAAAACCAAAGAGAAAACAAAAATTGGCAGCAGCACGATATGAAATTGTATGATGTAGATTAGCAGCAGCACACAAAAAGGAACAATTGCATGGACAAATTAAAATTCTTATCAAATTGCATGAGTTGCACAAATTAAAGCAGCGCACCAACAGTTCTTCTGTTGAAGAGGAGAAGATCGACTGTTCGGCGAAAACACAAGGAACACGGCGTGGGATTGCACATACGCCGGAGAGCAGAAACACGTAGAAGCCTAGGTTTTGGCTCCAATACATGTAAAATTTTAGCAGAAACTGAACTGATCTGCTTTTCATTAATCACAAACCGATATATATATACAAGTACATAAACGGGCTAACAAGTACGGGCCCAATAACATAAATATCTACAGTTAATTACAAATATCCGCTAACTTCAATCCTGATTAATCTTCGAGTCCTAATCCTTATGCTCTTCTCTAAGGGCATATCCAATGCAAGGAGTTTTGAGACTCTTACTCTACCATCTCAGTATTTTGCTATTTTAGAGCCTTCTGCAGACTTTTACATGATTCATCTCAATCCTTAAACTTTGTCACATCAACTTTACACCATCTTCTATACCATTAACTTTATTTTTATTAAATTAATTATCTAGTGTATAATTGTATTATACATTAAATTTTTTTACCAAATTTATTAAAAATATAAGGAATAAAAAATGGGAGAACTCCCTAGATAGGAGTAAAAAACTATGAAAATATCAAAATATGAGTTTTAAGTCTTGTAAGACTAAAATAAGAGTGCACACAATCACACTCATCATATTGTCACATTATAACTGCGACACTGCCACCGTCACATTGTCATCCATCGTCGTAGGCCACACGAGTGCCGTCGCGGATCGCGATGGTTGAGTGATCACGCTCACATATTACACTGCCAACGCGTACTCTTACACTACACTGTCATTATACTCATATTTTGGTCTTAAAAGACTTGGAACTCCTATTTTGTTATTTTCATATTTTTTTACTCCTATCTGAGTTGATTTTTTATAAAAATTAAAAAAAACATAAAATCTATTTATATTTTTTTTAATCTTTTAGAAGTTAATACCATTGGTTTTTCTTCACGTTTTATGCTAATGCAATTGGGTTTTAAGGTAATAATTAATTTTTAGCCTAAAAACTATCCCAATCGTTAGTTTTTTTACGTTTTTGGTTTTTAAACATGTTTAACTATTAAAAAATATATTTATAAATCTAATTAAGCTACCCCATTTTTTTAATTAAAGGTTTTAAAACCATCCCATATTTAATACTAAAGTTAACACATAATATTTCCTTCCATGTATATTTGTCTAGTTTGAATTTTTCAAGTCAAAGTAGACAAACTTTGAGATCTAATTAATCTCATTTTGTATTACATAATTCGTATTAGTATAATGAAATGCAATTTCGAAAATTTACAATAACATAAAGCTAATGAAATCCTTTTTATGCTAAAGTATATTAAAATTTTTATTTAATTGGAGCTCAAAGTTTAATCAGTTTGACTCAAAAATGTCAAACTGAATAAATACATTATGACGGAGCCTCGAGGGGTTAAATTACATGCAATAATTGGTTTTATGTTACCGATTTTCATGTTTTGGGTTTTATTTTGCAATTACAAAAAATGGTTTTTGTTAAACTATATATAACCTTTCTTGGGCCACAACCACAAGCCTAAGCTTCAAATTGAATTGGTTTCTTGACATGATATCAGAACCTTGTTGACTAAGAGGTCGCACCTTCAAAACACATCGCCTGTAACGCCTCGAAAATAGGCTATCAGAATTAATTAATTAATACCGGAGTAATTAATTAATTAATGAGAAGGATCCAAAAATAAGAGATTTATAAAGTTTGTCAATAAATAATGAAAAGTATATTGCTGTGTAGAGTTTGACTGTTTGGCCACAACGATACAATCAGATTTTAATTCAAAGAAAGTTGGACCAAAAGGTATACCCTGATTGGGACTGAAATTAGTCCCAATTAGGGACTTGCGTTTGAGTCAGAAGAAATCGTCGCCCTCTCCACTAACGCACAGCGCCGAACGAAGAATAGGAAAAACCAAGTCACCTCTTGTGTCTTCTTCCTCTCCCTTCCACTATATAAACTCCCCAAAACTTCGCCATTCTTCCTCCATTAGAGAGTTGTGAGTATACAGAGCAAAGTAGTGTTGTCCAGAGAGCTTCCCGTCGTCGGAGCAAGCCGTAGTGTTCGCCGGAAGTTTCGCCATTCAATCTCCGGAATCATCGTTAAGCTTCGAGGTAAGCCCTTAGATATCTAGTGATTAGAATATTTGTATATATTGTTTCTACGTTCATAAACGGTCGTTTGGTTGAGTTTTGTGTTTGACATGTTTGAAGAACCAAGAATCATAAACCTTGAAATTGTTGTTCAAACTACGAACTAATGTTACCAAAATGATCTATGAACCTTGGAGAACATTTCTATATAGTTTAATTGAAGTTTGGTGATTAAAAATGACATTTTCGAAAATTGACGACCCAAGGTTGCAGATGACATTGTTCAAACTACGCGCAGTATGATATCATGCCATCGCCGTCACGGTAGGGTATACCGCCACAACGGTGAGTCTCCTACCGGCTTGTTGTTTCTCCACCAGCGGTCGGTACCAAGATACCGTGACACGGTACCGAGGTATCGTATCGGGTACCGTCCAGAACCCGAAATTTTCTAGAAAACTTGATTTTTGAACTATGAAATTCTATTTTTGATACCAATCAATTATGATCTATATAAAAATGATTTTTGGAAATAAAAATGATATTTTGATCATCCAAGAGCGTTATGTGATGTACGACGGTAAGCTAGAGTGTTAACACTTGACGCTAAGTTGCTATTTGTTATTGGATATTATGATGATTATTATTGATGTTGTTTATTATCGAACTTTAATGAATATTCTGATTAAAATGATAATTATGAATGATTGAATCATGACTAAAAATGAATATATTGATGATTATGAGAATCATGTGTATTGTTAAGGGTATCTAGAATAACTCTAAGATACACTTATTTAGATAATTAATGTTGATTATTAAGGATATCTAGAAAAACTCTAAGATATACCTATGTGACCAATTTAGGAATCTGGAGTTAAAACGTACATACGGGATCCAAACCAAACTTGAGAATCACTCGTTTGAGGATATCACCCACCCGACAATTCACTATTCGGTTGGAGCGTGATCCATAAGACTCGTAGGATGGATCATCGATTCTTGTGTTCTGCCTTAAACTAATTATATAAGAGCCCGGTTAGAATTATTCCCTTAGACTAAAAATAGTATAAGAAATGTGTTATCAAAACGATTTGGCCTTAGATTAAGAATAATTTAAGAAAAATGTTGAAATACTGAATATTGAATATTGTATACATCATGAAATGACACGAATTAAAATATTGTGAATATCCTGAATGATGAATGCTTGAATTCAATATTATGTGCATGATATCAAATGATTTAATTATGAATTGAGATTCAATTTATATGGATGTTCGACGCAATAGATATCCTTACACAGCTTCACCGCTGAGCGTGTAGTATGTTTTATTTGTTACACGCATGAAAACAGAGAGAATGAAGTGACTATTCCTGGCGGCAGATGGGGCGAGATGATCAGGATGGATGTGTGAATTTGAATTATTGTTCTAAAAGATATAAATTTATTATGTTTTGTAATTGTGATTTATTAAGCTTCCGCAACTTTAAATACTCCGTTATTATTCTGAATAATTTATTATGAAATAAAGTTTGAAAATGTTTGAAATATTTTGAATGTTTACGAATACAAAGTTTATACTTTAGTGCGAAAGGAGCTGCAGACCTGGACGGATTAGGGTGTTACAACGCCGCCACCTAGTGTTAAAGAAATTAAGATTTTACGTGCAAGACTCAAAAATACTACGTCTGCATGTGTGAGTGCGTGTTAGAGTATAAATAACATTTCTTAGACAACAACCACATGTTTGAGCTTTTGATTGAATTGATTTGTTGACCGTTTTTATGCATTTTGTTTGTTTTACAATTATAATTATTTTGCATATGATAAATTACATTTTACATTTTTTAGTTTTTTTTTCAAAATTGTTGTTACTAATTTTTATTTTCAGAACATAATTATTATTGATTATGTATGTGTAATTTACATTGGATATATTGATTTGAGAATCTTGGAAGTGAGCGTGCGATTTCTAAAACTTATTTCCAGACTTTATCCATTTTCTGTTAACTCTAATAGAAAAAACTTCAAAAGAGTCTACATACTATTTACTCAAGATTCTCCCTAGACTCTCTTTTGGCATGCGCTAAATAAATTGTTTTTTATTCTCTAAAATCATGGCTTATAGATATCTAGAGATTTAAGATAACTCAAGAATAAACATACGAGACTAAAACGAATATTTTTTCCAATTTCAAACCATGGTGCACCCATATGTTAGATTCAATTAGGATGTGACAAATCTTTTTGCATCTCATCAAAATATTCCGGGGGAGAGTATGAAATGTGACTCATTCCCTTTTCCGCTCGTAGAATGAATGAGCCAAGAGCGAGCCCCGGTACCATGAATCCATGATGCGCAGGGTGGCCGAGCCACGTGGGGCCAAGATTGGTCTCCCCAGTCAACTTCGGGATTCGATATAGAAACAAATGCTCCGACTTTTGTGGCCCCGCCGGCCCACCTCATCCACGCCCCGTCTCCGCCACGATCGGCTGCCAACCCACCTTTTAGCCGTCCGATTGAGAACCCTCTCTCTCTCTCTCTCTCTGCAGCCTGCACCATTTATGATTATTGCATTTATTTATGGCTGCACATTTCGCGGGGTATTATTCCTCACAGCACACTGTATTTGTGTGTGTACCTCTCCACACTCCTCTGTATCTACAGGCCGGAAGATCCCTTTTCTTCACCGGCCTTCAAGGAACCGCCTTTCATCAATTTTCTTGAAGATCTCTTTGCTCTGAATCTCGCCTCCGTTCATTTCTTTGCGTTTGGTGTAAGTATACGCCCCCTTTGACTCCCCAGATTTGTTTTCTTTTCTTCTTCTCTTGCGAAAGAAAATGTTGGCATAAAATAAACCCTTTACTGCATTTCTTGGGTTTCTTTTAGCCAAGAACATGAATGTGTTGAATTCCAGTGCTACTTAGCGTTGATTTAGCCTTGTTTCTTTGCGGATCTGTGAGTTTCCTGTTCTGGGTATGGTTATTTTTGCATCTTCCTTTCGTAATGTTGAAGAAAGATAAAAAAATTTATTCAAACCCGCAAATCTTGGATCTTTAAGACCTCGATCTGTGTTAATATATGCTTCTGTATCTGGTGAACACTGTGCATGGTGATCCATTTGAGCAGTGGAACCATTTCTCATTCGTGTATGTACAATGGCCGTTTCGCTAAGTTCTGCCCTCTTTGTGTTTTGTGTTCACCCACAAAATTGAAGCTGTGGAAATTGGTAAAGGCAACTAAGGAACTCTGGGTTTTTTTCCTTGATTAGGTGAACACAAATTGTGGAAGATTCTGACTTCTTTTGGCAATGATGAGTTAGAAAGTGTTTGGAAAATGGCGGACGTAGCAAAATCTGGCAGGAGGGTTTCAGGGCAACAACAGATCTCAGATGGTGTGGGAGATAAGACCAGATTATCCAAAGTTATTGGGAGTCCCCAGTGTGAAGAAATGCATCATGAAGTGCCTAAACGTGCAATGAATAAGAATACGGTCCGGCCAAAGTCTTCTGAGTGTTACCAAAAACAGCGACCGGATAACAAAGACGAGGAGCTTGTGAAGCACATGTCGAATTTGCCTAAATATCTGCAGAGAACAGAAATGGAGAAAAGTGTTCAAGCAAAAGCTTTGAGTTTTGGGGTTATTGACTGGAACCATCTAGAAAAATGGAAATACAGTGACCGTATTCCAGCTAGAGACCACGAGAAAGTGTCAGTATTGCCATCTTCAGGGGGTGATTTGTCATGTCCCAGGCCGCCTAAAGCTTATAGTTCATTCCCTCAACAGAAACACATGTGCCCACCATTTCCCCATGAACAAAAGCTTTCTGGACCCATGAAGCACTCCCGAGGAAAGTCCATGCCTGGTCAAGAGTTTTTTACAGCCCCGGTGAGCACAAAACCAGTAACTTCTAGGAGGAAATCTTCCGAAGCAAACATTAACAAAGACAGTAAGGTTTCTGATGATAAATCCAAACCAGGGAAAGATGATATGTTCTCTGACCAGTCAAAGATTGACAGAAGGGATGATCAAAATGGTAGAGATAAGGTCAAAGCAGGCATGCAGGTGAATTGTGCTCCTAAGCCACGAAACATTGTCATTCTAATGCCAAAAGCAAAACATTCTCAGATTTCAGAATCCCAAACTTTCTCAAATGTGGACTCAATGGAGCCAGAAAAGAAAAGTTTTTCTCAAGAATCTTGCTCAAGAGAACACTCCCCTATTCCACCTTCTACTGATAAACAATCCAGTATGAAGGATTCTTTGGACTCCTCTGAGACATCTGAGGGGAAGGGAAAATATCCATCACCCACGAGACGATTTAGCATGAATCTTGGCATGATGAATAGGAGTTTAAGTTTTAAAGAGACTCCAACAGCTCCAAGATTGCCGGATACACATACTATTCCCAAGTCTGGTCCAGTGAGTTCTGGGGTAGAAAGGTCAAAAGCTAACGGGAAAGGGAGATCAAGTCCTTTGAGGAGATTGTTAGACCCACTTTTGTTAAGGTCCTCCAAGGGGACTCATACAGCTGAGACTAGCAATGAGAAGTTAGATTCTACAAGCAACAAGGAACACCCAACATCATCATCATCATCTTCTTCTGGGGCTCTTCTACAGCTTAGTATAAAGGACGGCCTCCCTTTCTTCAAATTTGTTGTTGATGGCAGCCAAGACATTTTAGTTGCTGCTGTCAAACAGTTACCAAAAACTGGAAAGGGAGATGGACGTTTGGTTTATTCTATCTATACAGTTTCTGAGATAAAAAAGAAGAGTGGAGGCTGGATGGGCCACGGATCAAAGGGTGGTGAGAAATGTAGTGAGTTCGGATATAATATGATTGGGCTTATGAAGGTTTCCAGTTCTTATGTCTTCAAATCAGGTTTGAGAGAATCCGTGTTGTACAGCGTGAATCTAGGACAGGTGGTGGACGACAAGCAAACCGCGTCAGAGTTTCTTCCGGACAGGGAGATTGCAGCTATTATAGTTCCAAATTCTGGCAGCATTGTTGTCATTCGTCCGGGTGGCGTTCATGGGTTGCCCCAAAAAGGAACTCCATCTTCACTGGTTGAAAGATGGAAATCTGGTGGGGTATGTGACTGTGGTGGGTGGGATGTTGGTTGCAAGTTACAGGTTCTCACTGAACATGAGAAAGACTGCAATAACCTTGCATTGTTCCTTCAGGTATCCATCCTCTCTTTTCTTCATTCAACTGATTTCAGAAGGAAAAAAATTGTTCCATTTTTAGGACTAAAGACCATTGATGTGGGGTCATTGACCACCTTCGTCCGTTCTTTTTTAACTGGCCATTATGATTTCTTTTAAATACAAAAAATGAATGAATGTAAACATGATGTATGTCCATGTTCATTGTTAGCTAAAACTGAATGTATAGAGTTTTACAAGTCCTATTTTGATGTGGAATGCTCCTTTGTTCTTATGACTCTTGTTTGAATAGGGAGGAGAGCAAGAGAGAAAGCTCATCTTTAGCTTGGCCCCTTTGAGGAAGGGGCTCTACACAGTACAATTTGACCAGTTAGTCCCTTTGGTAGAAGCATTCTCCATATGTGTAACAATCCTAACCGGTCAGAAAAAAGTATGCCGAATGTTGGAGGTGGCAGACCCTTCTGTTAGCTCCGGAGGTGTGAGGGAGGCCGAAGTGACAACTGCTGCCGCAGTCCAAGGGGGTCAGGGATCTGCCAAATATGCGCCTTCTCCGCCACCTTCCCCAGTTGCCAGGATCTAGTGTTTTTTTTGTTTAACTTTACGTATCGTTCTTGCTTTTTTGATAAATGTAAAGCTCTTAGTATGCTTGTTAGTGCAATGGTTGGTTATTCACTCACCCATTGCTTCTGTGAGTATAGAACCTCAAAACGTGAAATCTCCTACCGGTAAACGAGTAGCATTAGTGGCCTGCCTGTGTTGGTAGCTACTTTTCTTTGGCTTATGAGTCAGCTTTTATTTCCCTTAAATTCTTCATCTGGTGTACACTAACAAAGACTTTTTTAAAGAATAATACTCCATAAAGGTTTCATAGAAAACGAACTCATTATTAAAAAATTGGAGTGTTTTACCAATGCTTAACAAACTTCACAACTTCAGCAACAACAACAATAATCAACCCAATAAAATCCCAAGTAACATTTGCAGGTGTGTGTGTATACTGTATACAAAAATCAGAGTACAAAATTTCACAATGAAAATCCCAACGTTCACCTTGCAAGATGATTTCTTTAGAGGTCAATGTATGAGGCATGGTGAATGCACATGTACCAGTGACCGTCGACCTTCTCAAACACATTAGTGGCAAACTGTTTACCCCAGCCACCGTGTCTGGTCTTCACCATCTCAATGCAAGTAACATAGCCAATGTCCCCTCTGGCGTGAACCGCCACGTCCTTAATCTCAATCTCTAATGGGAACTCGTAGTCAGCCCACACATATTCCCAGCTTCCCATCACAAGATCATACCCACAAATGCCACTCACTCCGGGATGTACTGCGCACGCGTGTTCACCCTTAGACCAGAGATTTTGCAGGGCAGCCAAGTCACCCGTCCTGAATGAATTGTAAAACCGGGCATTTGCTGCTAAGACCGATGCCTTGATGTCATGTTGGAGAAGGCGGAGGTTGTCCCTGATTTTTGCTGCCTGGGGATAGTTCTCTTCTTGAATAGCAAGCTGGAGTTCTTCCTCCATACTCTGCTCGTTCAGTAGGATGCTTTCGCCACTCAGTTTTTCTTCAGTGTCCTCACTTTTTGCTCGGCAAGGGCTTGGAAGATATGAATGGGACGACAGAATATTCTGCTCTGAATAATAAACATATACTTACAAAAAATCATGGCAGATGAGATAAATACTGTGTAGTATAATTGATAACTGAGAAAATGACCGATATAGGAGAAAAATAAACTAACACAATGCATATCAATTTATTCTTTCTAGTAATTGATGATTAAGTAAGCACGCCAGCGAAAATAATAAAATGGAATTTGCATCCAGAAGACGGAGCAAGTATGAGAACCTTCAAAATGAATAAAATCCAGGAAAAGTAAAAAGTTGAAGAAAAGATACTTGGTACTTTGGTTGTTGGAAAATGAATTGGCCTTTTTTCAGTTAGCCCTGGAAAATTCCTAGTGCATTGTTGGCGTGAATCTGAAGGCAAACAATTCACTGCCTGGATACAGCCGTTTCTGATATCGGCCTTGCTTCCCTGATATCAGAGGTTAAAGGGTGCGAGAGAAATCAGAATTAAAAAAAACTCTAAAAAAAAGTGTAACAATCCATTCATATAAGCAACATCAGAAACACAACCATTTAAAAAATTAGCAAGTTATGAAATCTCCAGTTTCAAATACAACATTAGAGGCAAATCATAATCTCTCTTTGACTGGATGTTAAAGGCTATATGCCTACATTTATGGAAAATGCCTTGGTCATGCTTATTAAATTCATTCTGGATAGAAATTGTAGATTAAAAAATTCACCCTAAATCCAAACTCCATTGGTCCCGAGGGGTCATGACGTACTACTTAAAACTCCATAGAAAGTAAGAGGTAACTAGGAAGATTGTTGTGCTATTTTGATTTAGGCCAGTATTTACCCGGAGCTAAAACAGTGCCAAGAGTAAAGTGATACAAACTAACAATAACATTAAAAGAAGAGATTTCTTAAACCCAACTTATACCTCATGGGAAACATGTCAAGTAGCCATTCTCTCTACACTTTTGACAAAATCATGGTTTAAAAAATAAAAAATGATTTCTAACCTATTCAAGCCAACAATTACTAAACACCCCTGACTTGATCATGGATTATAAAAAGAAAACAATAACCAAAAGATTTGGTTTTTAGTAAATGTGTTGATTCGGGCTAGGTGACTTTCCTCAAGAAACTTGAAAATCAAACCAACTTCATATCTGTCTAAGCTCTAAACATCATGGTCAACATTTTGCACAATCAGCCAGTGTCCATATACAATTTAGGGAATTTGGTATTCTTAAGCAGGTTGATGTGTTTCAGCATCATACAAATAATCAATCTAGTCCTCAGAATCGCCTTCTCTTCAATCATATGTTTTTTCTAAATTACAGTCCAGATAAAAGTCAAATTTTAATTTTGAAAAAAAAGGGGGATTCATAAAATCGTTAACCTGGTAGAAGAGAGGAATCCGACTGAGACGATGTGACAGATAAGATGCAGAGAAATTCGAAACCTCCATTGGAGCTGGAGTCAATGAATCACCAGCTGCAAAACCGATAGCTTTCGCGAAGCAAATCACTGCAGAATTTCTGAAGTCTAATCCAAATTACTGTAGTTTACCTGTGGAAGGTTTGAAGGTCAGAGGGAATCTGCGATGACGAAGGCGAAGTAATAATAAAAGTGTTGTTGAAAAGGTGCTTGGGCCATGTGAGATCAGTTGGAGACCAAGTGGTGTCAGCCCATGTTTTTAATAGCTAGCCCATCAAGTGGTCCATCATTGTGTTACACTGCAATTTTAATTTTGTTGGATGAAATCCATTTCATCAAAGTGTTTTAGAAAATATACAATAAAAGAATTAGCCATTTGGTGGGAATTTTAAGGTGGGGGGTATAGCATGAGTGTTTAGGAGTTTCAATATATTTTTAAGTGGTCTTAATGTTCACACTCATTTTAATATTTTATGGATCTTAATATATAAATATTATAATATACTCCCTCCGTCCCATAAAACCTTTCTCCTTTCTTTTTTCATCCGTCTCATAAAACACTTCTCATTTCTATTAAAAAGTCACTTTAACCCCTTACCTTTTCATACCATACCTATCACATCATACCTTTTTACTAATAATCTAATCATCAAATCCTACTTTTACCCATCACATCAAAGGACATTTTTGGAAATTCAATACCAAAATACACTCCCTTAAATCTCTTCAAAAAGCAAAACATCACATGTTTCATGAGACGGAGGGAGTAAATATTATAGATGAATTAAGTTCTTTGAAAAAAGTGAAGAATTTCCATGTTGTCCAATAAAAAGTGTGAGAAAATCATCATTTCACATGTGAACCTTAAGATCATGTAAACAAAACTTGTTCCCTAAATTCAAAATATACGCCTAGTATGATTTTTTTTTCAAAATGAACTAACTTTAATCATTAATAACTACACCTTCGTCCCAAAGTACTTATTCAATTTTGATTTTTTGCAGTAAAAAAAATTCCCTCCGTCCCAGTGTATTTGTCCAGTTTGACTTTTCCGAGTCAAACTGGACAAACTGTGAGCTTCAATTAAATAAAAACCGTAATGTATTTTAACATAAAAATGACTTTATTGGATTTAGCATATTGAGAACTTTCAAAATTGTATTTCATTATGCTAATATGCAATATAAATTGAGAGTAATTAGAGCTCAAACTGGACAAATACACTGTGATGGAGGTAGTAATTAACTTTGACTTTAAATTAAATAAAATTTATATTAGATATTGATATAAGAATTATTTTATTTATCTTATACGGAGTATAGTATTTTTCATAAGAAAATATTTTATCAAATTAATATATCATATAATTTTTATTTTATTATAGACCAAATGTGAATCTTAGTTGACTGTAAAAAGTGAAAACTGAATCTTAAATATGTGTTATATATTAATACAATAGAATAAATTTAAGAATTTTTTCCATGAAATAAAACCAGAAAATTATTCTGGGTATACCTCGATTTTCTAGTAATGACTCTCAAGTCCCACATTATTTGAAATATACTACGAGGGTCCTCAAAATTAGTGGTAATGTACTCCTTGGGTACATTTCATCTATTTGACCGTTAGGATTTAAATTTTTTGGTACTTTTACAAATACTAAATTTCACATTTATAATCATTATTTATTAAATTTCAATAAAATCTTTCAGCTTCTCAAAGTAAAAGAACTTTCAATTCTAACACTTAAATGGATGAAATGTACCCTCAAAGTATAATACCATAAATTTTAAGGATCCTGAGTATATTTCAAATAATGTGAGACCTGAGAATTCTTACCGAAAAATCGACAGTACCCAGGGTATATTTCAAATAATGTGGGACCTGAGAGTCATTACCATAAAATCGATGATACATTGGAGTAATTTTCTGAAATAAATCTAATGAAATTGTTTTTATATTATTATAAAACACTCCAGCCGTAAAAAAGACACTCCATTGTTTTATTTAATGTGACGATCACTTTTCAATGCTTCTGCGTGTTTCTCTGTCCCGGTGCTTATTGACCTATTGTTGATAAAATTTTGACAACAAATATTCTTTCGTAGAAGTAAAATGACTTAAATGATAGATGAGTCATTTGGGAATTTTCATAAATGGCAATGGGTTATTTTGTAAATAATCTAGTCAAAATGAAGAAAAGAAAAACCGCTTAAAAATAACGCACTATTCTTTTAGATTGGAAAAATTAACTTCCAATGTTTTCTAACTCATTCCAGTTTCTTCCAACTCCATCGGGTTTCTTCCAATTTCTTCCAGTTTTTTCCAACAACTACTTAAAAACGGTATTTATATATGATGAATATAAAACAACATTATATATTCAAAATTATAACATACCACCTCAATAACAAACAAAAATGGTTTTTTTAAATCCAAAATTAGTTTTCTTAAATATTTATTTGGATGATCATTTAATCAAGTGACTTTTTAACACTTTATGTCTTCCAACACTTTCGAAATCCTCGCATTTTTTTTCCAATTTTTCCACTTTTTTCTAACTCTTTCTAATTTATTCTAATATCCAACTTTGAAATTCTAATCCAAAAGAACATGATTTAAGTAAGTAAGACCTATTTATTTTTTCAAGCATATAGACAATTTATAAGTCAATTTATAAGCACAGAGAAACATACCATCAACAAACATATAAGTTAAAAGCTACTTTTAGATAGTATTAATCCGCTTATAACA